ATGGTTCATGGGGTCACAAAGAGTCGGACACGACTTAACGACTGAACAACAACAACAAAGCTTAAGAGGTCACAGTCCAAATCTGCCATAGACAGCTGCATTACTGAACAGCAGAAGCCTTGTTTGGAACTTAGAAATAATGATTAAAAAAAACTCATGTCCAGGAGGATTTTGCCTTTTTAGGACTTTATTGAGATTATTTCAGAAGACAATTAGTAATGGTAGAGGCGTTTTCTTGAATGGCTGTTTGCTTGTCACCGCTCATATGTAGTGGTGATGCCTGTCCGGGGTTTTCGTGACCAGGGTCTGCTGAAACATGGAGGGTCTCCTAGCAGATGCTCCAATAAGTTTGGAAGCTTCTGCATAACGAGTGAGCCTTGCGTGGGTTTCTGTGCATCTCCAATACAGATAGTCCCCTATTTACGAACAGGTTACATTCCAAGAGGCTGTTCGTAAGTCCGTTTTGTTCGTAAGTCCAACCAAGTCAAAAGTAAAAAAAAAGAGGCAAGAGGCAGGGCAGCGGTGTGGGCAGAGGCTCCCTATCTTCTGCTGCCAATGAGTCACCAGGTGAGGCAGGAGAGGGGGTGGCAGCGGAGGAGAGGGGAGCCGGTGGGGCGTGGCATGCTCTGTTGTTGGATGAGGCAGGAGACCTCCACCCCCTCTCCCCTGTCCTCTGCCACTGCCCCCTCTCCTGCCTCACCCAGCAATGGAGTGCGTAAACTAACCCTTTCTGGGAACTTTGATTCCAGTGCAAACCTCTAATGCTGTCAGGCCCAGCCCAAGAAAAACAGTGAAACAGTCTAGTCCAGTAGAGTTCCTTTGTTTGCTTACACCTTATAGACAGAATCTTGCCAAACTAAATCTCTACTACAGCAACTAGTGGAAATACCCTGGGAGAGTCTAGGGAGGGGCTGTCCTGAACCTCTTTCGCTTCTCACGCTCCCCCTACAGACTACACTGCCTCTTGCCCCCTCCCCCCTCCTGGAATGCGCCCCCTCCTCCTTGTTAGCCTTGATCGCCACATCGCCCTCCTCCTAGTACATACATTCAGTCACAAATGCAAACAGAAGGCAGGAAAAGGTGGGAAAGGGTTACTTTGGAGTGCGCTGCAAACTAACCCTTTCCTGCCTTCTCTCGACTTCTGGTTCCAACTCCCAGTTCTGACTTCCGGGTCCATCTTGTTCGTATCGGTGAAAGTTTGCAACACAAAGGTTCGCAAGTAGGGGACTGTCTGTGAGCCCATTTTCAGGACTTCTGTGTCCACCCTGCTCCCTGGTTTCCCTGTGATTGGCTCTGCAGCGGCAATACCTACAACTCTTACGCAGGATGTGCAGAATGTCATGATGTTTTTTCCAATTTTCGGCAAATTGCCTAAAAAGGTTGCCAATCCCTGCTCTGCAGTGGCCCCAGGAAAAGTGGGAGGATGATCGGACATGTCCGATGGGGGAGACAGACGATTGGAAGATGAGTTCTTTCACTGGATCGCTTTCACTAGGGAGACATTTGCGGGAGAAATGTGGATCAGGATATATCCCATTTTGGGTGGGGGGGCACTTTCTTCTGGATTTTCTGCTAATGTATCATTGGCAGTAGTAGCCCAGTAACTTTGGCGTTCCATCACCAAGCAGTTTTCTTCTTCTTCTGCTGTTCAGAACATTACACCGGCTGGCAGTGCTTTCCAACCACAGGGATGGACTTGCTTCAGAGCAGCAGGCTGGCTCTGAAGATGAAAAGGGGGAATTGGGACCTATAGGGAGTGGGAGGCTGTGGGCCCGAGCAACATCCTCATTAAGCCCCAAAATGGATGTTATCTTGCAGGGAGAAAACGCCACCACGGCCTCAAGGGCAGAGGCCCGAGCCAGAAAACAGAGGGGTAAGTAACAGAGAATTTGGGAGAGCCTTGTGCTTCTCAGAATTATAGAGTAAAAATGCACCAAGGCTGAACTATTGGAGGATGGGAGGAGCTTGGGAGACCTTTCATACTTGTCCGCTTCAGGTCTTTGTAAGCCAAGATAAATGTGACAAATATTGGATGCCCATTTGTATATAGACTTCTGGTAGAAATAATATTGTGGTGTAGATTTTACAAACTTCCAGCTCCCATGTAACTACCCTTAAAATATGGTTGCTATCAAGTTAGTCTGAATTGCAGGAGGTGCAGCCAGATGTGTAAAAAGAGACCATGAATGCCAGTTTTATAAATAGTAAACTCTGCCTAGTGGAGAAAAGGGGCCATTTCCAGCATTTCATCGCTCTGAGTTGGTGAGCATGCGTGACCTGACGAAAGAATTGCATATTTCCACGCAAGTCGGCTGGAGCCCCCAGAGGCTCTCCATGGGCCTCCTCTCATCAGACAAACAGCTCTGCTGGGTGTGATTAAGCAACGCTTCTGTTTTACGTTCCCCGGAGAGCCATTGCCTTGCTGAATGTGGAGGGTGCCTTTTCAGCATGCCCCGCTGTAGCGACTGAAGCTCCCATGGCAAAGTGCACATGCTGCTTTGCCCAGCGTGGAGCTGAACTCTGATCCCTGGGGCTCTTTTTGCTATGGGGACAGGCTCAGATAGTTTTTGTGACCTGTGACCCACAAAGAATTATCCTGTTCATCTTTTGAAGTCTTGGGAGGACTAAAATGCTACCTATTTGCTAGATTTAAATTGGAAACGTGGTTCGTTCTTGTACCCAAAAAGGGTTTCCTTGAGAGCATATGAGAATAATCTAACAAAGCCCTGAAAATCAGGAGTCTGGCAGCACTTTTCCTGGCTAGCAAATTCTATTAAAGGCATGAACTTTCATGAGCTGAAGCTCAAGAATCAGAAAGCATCTACAGCAACTTTTCTGATGACCCCATTTAATGAGATAAAATAAAATTTAATAAAATGTGTTCATTGAAAAAGGTACTACAGATTCCTTAAGTTTTGCTACCAGTGGACTAACATGGTTCTCCTCCTACAAAGCCTTGAACGAATCTCCTGTCACTGTATTTATGCAGAAGTCCTTAGTGCTTCTCCTCCCCCCCAAGTTGAAAAGTTTCAGAATAACAGTGGCCAAGGTGCAGGTCCTTCCACTCCAGTGTGGCCTTGCAGAGGTGAGATTTTATCCAGATGCATCAATGGCAGAAAAGAATTGCCATCTGAGTGGAAGGAGGCAAGGCCGGAGAAGCACTGATGGCGTTCCCTAGTTGGGTGATGAAATGTCTGCAAGAAAACAGCCAAGCTCAGAGAGCACCGAGGACTCCACAGTTCATCCCTGAGCTACATTTATTCTCTTCTGTTGGAAGGGAAATGGAGCCAGGTCTATAGAGTTGTCTGGTCTGGGAGTGCTACTTTCAGCTCACAATGTTCTCATGGCACATAGCTGGAAGTCCCTGAGAGAGATTGCAATCAGTCAGGGTTACAACTTGTGAACTAGGACATATATGCACACTGACCTTTTTTTTCCCTTTCTTCCAGGGTTTCCAGGGGTTTGGGTTTGGTGATGGAGGCTTCCAAATGTCATTTGGAATTGGAGCGTTTCCGTTTGGCATATTTGCTACCGCCTTCAATATAAATGATGGTCGTCCCCCACCAGGTATGGAACATCTGAGTTTTGAATTTAAAAAAAATCAGCCTGGGCTGGCATTGCTCCATTGAGCTTTTGTTGCTGTGCAACCAAGGATGCTGATCTTTTTTGCTTAACTATTCATCCGTGAACCAGTGCACCTCTACCCACCGTGCCTGAGGAGCATCTGTACTGTATGTGACGCTCTTCAGAGTCACTGCATTGGATGAGTCGTAGCTGGCTTTGGAGAACAGGGACGTCTCCTTTGGGAGGTCTTTGCAAAAACTGGGAGATTTTGTGGCCTTCCTGAACAGCTACGGCACACAGAAGCCTGGTGTTAGAATGGCCTCTTCAGGGCAACGTCCTGCCAGGACAGGAATCCATGTGAAAACATTCTCAGCAGGTGGTCATCTTGCTTCCTCTTGAATATATCCAGGGAAGGGACACTCATTACCTCTCTGGCTCATTGGCTGAACTCTTCAATGGGTCTTAAGACATTTTTCCGACATTCAACTGGAATCTGCCTTCCAGTGATTTAAGACCTTTTTACAATAGTACTATGTTCAACTTCCTGTTTCTTCATTTAAACCAAATCTGAACCTCCTCCTGGGTTCTACTAAGGCAGGTCTCCACAAACTGGTTTACCCAGGTTAGGAATCACAGGGACTATGGAAGGCTATGTTGAGGAAAGTGATCTTTTCTGTCCACCATGAAGCAGAGAACAGCATTCTCTAACAGTATTCGCTAATAGCAAAGAAATATTTTTGCCTTTCATTCTTCTCCCAAATCAACAGCTTTAGATGGGTTGAGTGTTTCTAAAAGAATAAATGAGCAGTGGGCACCTACTGGACACATCTATCCCTTGGAAGGACTCTTCCTAGTCCTTCTGAAGGGCACCTGTTTCTAAGAAGACAAGACAGTTGTAGGAATTATCCATTAAAAGGATTCTGGGAAGCTTTCTAATACAAAAGCTTTAGAGCCTGATTCCACACTTAGTGCTCCAACTCTGGAAAAATGTAAGGTTCTGTTTGTACATTCTGAAAGAAAGGAGATACCAACCGCAGGTTTTGTTTTCTCTTCCCTTAGCTGTTCCAGGGACTCCTCAGTATGTGGATGAGCAGTTTCTGTCCCGCCTCTTCCTGTTCGTGGCTCTGGTCATCATGTTCTGGCTCCTGATAGCTTAACTTGGCTCCGTACCTGATATTCCACCATGGTTTGTGGAGCTCCGAACTAGTCACAGACTGCTGCTTGTCTCCTGGTCTGCCTCTTGGTGTCTCATTCTTCAGCTAATGATGGGCTCCTAAAAGCCACCGGTGTCTTCATCTGAGGAGGAGCCTCACTCACTTTGCCAGAGTTACAGAATTAAAGTTTTTAAAAAGTTTCTGAAACTCCGCTGTATCTCCCACAGCAAGGACCTGGCTGGAACTGTGACCCTAGCTTTGAGCTCCATACCTCAATGGGGAGTTGAGTTGTTTGAATCTTGTGCCAAACAGCTGGGAGAGATGCTGGCTCCAGAAGGAATCAGGCATGGTGGCTAGCAATGGAAACTCTTGCCATTTATCCCAGTAGCTTGTTCTCAAGAACAGCGAGAGGAAGGAGATCAGTGGACTTCAGAACCCAGCTGCACATCTTGCTCAAAAGCCAACTGACTCCAGGTAATATCTCTATAAATAAGACATCTGGCTGAAGAGGGTTCTGTCCCATTCCTGCTGTTACATACCCAAGTGATAAAAGACCATCCATCTTTGGTTTTCCAGCTATCACAAAAGTAAAAGGATAAAAGACTCTTTAACCTAAAATGGTAGCATACATAAATTTACTGGAATCAACTGGGGGGGGGCTCTCTCATCTCAGGGTTTGGGGGGGCTGTTGGCTATCATGCAGCACACTTCCTCACTGATAAAAGCAGTGTTTTAAAGGGTTTGTAGCAGCCATCCACTCTTAATTTAGGTAGACATAGTTCCAGCTGTGGTTCTTATTTATACTGTATACATCTCTCCTTCCTGAAATGTGCAGAGACATTTTTTTTCATATTTGGGAATAGGCTAACTGGGAGGAGCATAGGACAGTCTCTTGCAGGGGTAATTCACTGAGTATTTTATGCCTCCCCACCTCACAATTATGATTATTACATAGTGGGAATAAGTCTGTAGATTTTTGATAGTACAAGAAATTCTGCTTAAGCAGTTTGCGTGTGTGAGCTTTTTCAAATTACCAAAGAAAATGATTTTTTGAAGGGTAATCATGGGCCCAATGCAGCAGTAGTTTGAACAGCGCTTTAGTAGCAGAGCATCCCAAACAATGGTACTTGGTGGCTTTGGAGAACTCTTTACAGAGGGGGCACAGGAGGAATAGTGCTTCAAAATAAGTTGTGGTTGAATCTTTTGCATCCAGAGGATGCAAAACTCTCACTTGGATGACTGCTGATTCTCTTGCAAGGGTGCCTCTCAGAGACTTCTACTCTATTTTATTTTGCAATCCTTTTCATCTTCTCCTGGATGTTGACAAAGACTTGCTGGCCAAACCCCACTGGCATTGTGGCAGGGAGGGTTATTTTTCTGTGGATTTGATGTGGGGGGTGAGGCTGGAAATCTCAGGAGCGTCACGGCCATTTCCTTTCACAGAAGTGAGATACCACATGTGAATGATCTTGTACCCCAAATTCTGTCCTGGCTCTTCCCTGCGTGACTTGGTCAGGAGACAGACCTAGCTTTTAGCAACAAAAACATACTTGGTAGCAGGAGGGATCCCTCCCTTGAAGATCCGAGTGCCACCTACTGTCAACAGAGAACATTCAGTTGCATTTTAATCTAGGAAAGATATCTTTTATTTCTCCCCCTGCCCCCTTTCCTAGAAACTGCAGCATACCAGAAAAGCTGTATTGCTGAAATCAACCTTATGAAACGGTCAGATAGCTGGGATAGTGGGAAAGGAATTGAGGTGTTGAATTGTCTTACTTTGGCCCCTGCTCGCTTGGGTGTGCTGGCCAAGGTCCACTGCCTTTTGGGGGGATCCTTCTGTCTTGCCTGTGTTTTGGGGAACAGTGGTGTGGCATTGAAAGACTAAATGTTTTGCTTTGCAAACTTTCTGGTGTAATTGCTGAAGCTGATTGTGGCAGATTCTGTGCTTCCTCTGTTCCAGGGAGCCACTGGCCTGCCGACGTTTCTGTTTGATAAGCAGACCCATCCTGGGCTTCCTCTGGTCTTAAAGGGTCGCCCGCCCATACTCTTTGTATTCCCTTTTTCCTCCGCACCACCTATTTAGATTCCACTTGGCTTGTGGTTAGCGAAGTATGGTACCACTGTGCAACACTGCTGTTCACTAATTTTCACTGTTGTGAAAGTCAGAATAAACACCTTTTTACATTATCTTAAGGCTGCGTGGAGTTCATTTCCTGCCCAATTCTTTGGAGGGGCGCCCCCACCAGAAAGGGCGGGGGAAAGGGCCGCACGCGGGCAGCTAGGCTCTTTGGTCATCGCCGGGCGGGGCGGGGCGTG